TTCCTGTGGCTCAGAGAATAGACTTTAAAACAGCTCTGCTTGTGTACAAGTCTCTCCATGGCCTCGCACCAAAATATATTAGTGACATGTTAGTCCCATAAGAACCAGCCCGGACTCTGAGGAGCACAGGGACTGGACTCCTGTTAGTGCCCAGAGTCAGAACTAAACATGGGGAGGCTGCTTTTCAGATTCATGCTGCTAAAATCTGGAACAATCTTCCTGAAGATGTGAGACAGGCCTCCTCTCTGACAATGTTTAAAACCAAGTTAAAAACAGTTCTGTGCATACAACTGAGGGATTTTATATTTTTATCTTTCGTTTTAATGTTCTGTGATTATTTATGATTTTAATGCTATCTTGTTCAGCACTTTGAGTTGCCTTGTGTATGAATTGTGCTATACAAATAAACTTGCCTTGCCTTGCCTTGCCTTGCCATTAGTGGCACACCCGGGTTCTTATTTTTTATTATTGGTTATTACGTTATGTATAATAGTGACAATTACAATTAATTTGGTCACTGAAAAATCACTTGCGGGCCCTTGTTATGTTATTGGTTCTTGGTTCCTAAAATCCTTTATGCAATCAATTGTTGTTAATTAAATGGTTTATTATAGGAATTTGTAATGTGACTCCCTTTCTAATAGATTAATGAGCAAAGGACCAAAAGAGCTCCACTAAGAGTCCCCCACGGGTTTACAAATAGATTGTGATTGAGTGAGATTTTTTATTCACACCATCTATTCCCTTTTTGTATAACAGTATTGAGTTTGTTAAGAATTTACCATTTCATATGTGTCTTTAAATTTGCCTGATAGAAGTCATTATTGCATCCATGACCTCAACATATGAATACTTAATCACCCAAATCTTCTTTACATCCCCCTTTCAGACAGACTTGGCATGTGTTCCTGAATCCACAGAGAGCTAAGTGTAGAGTGAAACTAAGGGTCTTTACCAGCTTTACACAGCCCACTGGGTTGTCAAGAACAAACCAGAAAATGTTGAAATAAAACAAGCCTGAAACCCCTCGACAACGGTTAACAAATCCCATGGCACTACAGAAGAGTAAAGGGTCTTTAAAGTGTGTCTGATCCATGCATGCTTCACTAAACCTGTCCACTGCATCCACAAAGAGGGTCCTCGGGGTCCAACGGGTTGCCCACGTTAGACTGCACATGTCAGGTTGAGCAGCTTGAGAGCAGACCTGGCTTACACGTTATATCATGAATGTCCACACTTTTCCCACATTTTTCCCACTTTACTTTGAAGGAATATAAACCAATAAACAACCCTAATCAACCAAGAAGCACTATCACCAATCCTGCGGTTTGGTTCTTCTGACCATACAACATGTGGCCCAAGGACACACGGAAAATGGGTGTGGTTTCACACCTGCCAACCTACTGGCCAGTCGATGTGACTGCTCAACCAATTATGCTGGGAGCAGGATTAAAACCAGCCACCTTCAGCTCAGAGGCTCTACCAACTGAGCCACAGATACTACCGCACTTGTATAACATTGCCTCGGATTAGTTCAACTTTCTATGCCACGCAAACTTCCACCTTCCAGTACCACTCCACTAGAACTGTTTAACTTGGAACAAACATTCTACAAGTTTGTGGCAGGAAATTGGTAGAATTTTGGCTCAAGAATGTTTTGCTATCTCTATCAAAAAGTGCAATTAGCTTTTTTTTTCTTGTATAGCCCTAACAGCAGTCATCTCAGAGGATTTAACTTAGGGGCGACAGTGGCTCAGTTGGTAGAGCACTGGCCTTTGGGCCAGAAGGTCGTGGGTCCGAGCCCACCATGGAACTTTCTCCACCCACTCTCACTGATGTCTGCTGTCGTTGTGTCATTGGGCAAGACGCTTAACCCATCATACCTGAAGCCCCCGCTGAAAAATCAAGGCTGTATGGTCACTGACAGAGCAGCCATCCTCCTGTGGACCCACCACCTGCAGGAGGATCAGTGAGGGGCTGGAGCTCAGTGAATTGGATGCAGCTCTGACTGCCGCCCCCCCAACCCAGAAATGGATTAAGGGGAAGAAGATGGATGGATTGATGATGTGCACTGGCCAAGGTATACAAGTCTGCCATCTTTCTTAACCTTAGGGTGGGGAATATGTATTTTTTGTGTTCAAGTTGACAAAGCAGTAGCTTATGTGTTCTGTAGCCTTTTGCAGGCAAACAAGTCCTCTGTTTTGTTTTGTGACACACAGCTTGTTTGTGAAATCCTGGTTTGCTTGGAGGGGTCCCAGATAAAGCCTTGAAGGGGAGGGGGGATTACAGACAGCATCTTTCCACCTCAAACACTACCTCTCTCTGTGTCGAGATGATAAACTCTCATTGAGTTTGCAAAGACCATTTCCCAAAGGCTATCTTTCATTTCATATGAACTTTTCAAACGGTTCCGGATCTGAGACAGAGTCGTCACCGAGTTCGCCGTCTTTGATCGCGCCTCCCCTGTGTATTTTCTCCACCCCAGGACCACTGTCTTCAGAGGCTCTGGTAGAAGAAAGGCTGGCATCAACAGAAATCACAAACCCCCACCCTCTATGCTCGCCACACCCTTCCCTTCTTCATTCTACCTTCCCAGATCTGTCACACACACTTGCCAATGGTTTATTAAATGAGTGTCATAAAAACCATCTTTCAACAGATTCCTTACAGCAACATCATCAGTCAGTATATTGTATGCACCTCCCTTGCAAATGCATATCTGCAAGTTCAAACAGTTAAAATAATGCAAACATCTGGTGCTTTACTACACGGATCATCTGTTATGATATGAACCTGAGCACAAAATTACCAACGTCTGTTTAATTGATTATGTTCACTATACCCCGTCTCTTACTCTTACTGCAACTCAGTGATGTCCATTTAGACCACGTATGTATGTAAGCAGGAAAATTGGTAATCAAAGCTCCTCCGAGAAAGTGTTTTGGTTGCATGATAAATATAGCCACCACATTGACTGGTCTGAGTGATTGATGCTCAAAGATATCTCCCTGACAGACTGGCAGACGAAAGAGAAAAGCAAAGCAGGATGATTGGCTTCTCTTTGATGTCTCTGTCTGACTTTCGGTTGATCGTTTGTTACATCTTGAAGCCAGTTGTGTGCTGACAGTTGTACTGACCCCAAATATCATATTTGAAAACCAAACTGCCAACTAATGATGAAAATGAATATTCTTGAATTACTTTGAAATCTCAGAAAATGTTCTTGGGTCCACAGAAAAGGAAACTCCTTTGCATTTATATGGGCAATTTACCCAGTAACTAGAATTTAATTAAAACCATGCACACCCAGATTTAAAGGGGTATTATGCCCTTTATTCATTTGAAAAAATAAATAAGTGTATATGTTTGCATATTTGACCTTGTAGAGATGCAGTGGCTGTAAGAATGCTCAGCATGGTGATGCCCACTGTAATGTGCTCTAGGATTCTGTGGGACCAAATGTTTGGAATGTTTCCTTGGTCTCTCACCAGAAAACCTACAAAACAATTGACTTTGGCTCTCTGCAGACACAATCGTGATCAACTGAAACCCTTTTTCATGTAAAAAGTTGCATAATGCCTTTAAACTATCCTTACGATACAAATGAACATCTTTTGCAGAGCTATTTATAAGACTATACATAGCACCATTCACTATGACAATATCAATAGATTGTGATAATTTTACTTTGAAGAAAAACAAAATAGTGTTGTTGCAGATAAATAAATAGACCAAAACATGAACTAAATATACCCAACCCATTCTCAGTGTAAACCATATGTGAGGAGGCAATTTAAGTCATGAGAGGACCAGAGATGCTGTCATGTTTGTTGTGTGTTTGCAGAAAGACTATAAAGATGCCACATCCTTCTGTCTGCTGAGGAGGACTGATTCCCATGGTTCTGTTGTCATGTGGCTTTTATGTGGATGTCCCACTGGCCTTCAAGAAGTGATGCTTGATAATACATTTTTCTAACATCTGCCAATTCTTAGACATGTTTTAGTCATGGATCTATGGTTTTAGTGCATCAGCGGTGGCAGAATCTTCTTATAAACATTGCTTGTTGGTGCTGGAAGCATCTGGACATAAGCTGTTATAACAAGCCCCACATTGTAGAGCTTGATAAGTTATGAACCTTCATAGTAAGTTTGTGTTGTATTGTACACAAAGCACTTTATAATGTTGTTGTTCATATATATTTATTGAAGACGATGACAAAGTCTGGGAGCGTGTCTTTAATTCAGACAGAAGACATGTTTTATTGTTAATGGTAGAGCACGAACAAGAGCACAAACAAGGATGTAAGAAAATGCAAGTGGTCATATACAGCAGAGGAATGAACACCGTCCAATCAGATTTCGCCGCGATGCCAGTAGCTTGGCCTTCAGAAATCAAAACATGCAGTGGAAAAGTACTGGCTTCTGCATATGTTAGAATGAAGAGTTTAAACTTTAAACACAGTTGCTTCAAAGTGTCATGATATACCTATAATATATATAATGTAATACATATATAATGTAATACATATATAATGTATTTTTGGAGTGACGTTTGGAGTGATCCAAAACGGGACCAAAGAGGAACTGATGGAGATTAAAGTTGGGGTTCCTAATGTTTTGTTTAATGTCAGGGTCAGTCCATGGTGTCAGTTCCAACAGAGAGACTGTTCTAAAAGTTAAATGTTGTGAAATAATTTTCCCTTCAGGGTCCTCTCATGGTAAATTAACATACATTTAAATAAATGCGATTGCAATATAGTTTTGCAAGGGAAAATAATGTTAAAACCGTCGCTGTTAGAATAATGTTAATTAATACCATGGTTGATTCGTGATTTTCAGGATTTTGCCTCCGACTAGCGGTAGACAAAGAGCAGTACATGGATGTAGTGGGTCCTCCTGACCGAGAGATGGCGCCCTCCATGGCCCTACAGTGATCCCGCTTTGCTCCTCCAGTCTCGTCGCACTCGTCAGTCTCGTCACAGGAGATGAAAACACAAACAATGGGAAAGAAGCACAAAAAGCACAAATCTGACAAACATGCTCATGAAGGTAAAGCTCACACACCAGTACACTATGCACAAGTTACACCCACATTATTTTTTGTTTTCAAACATAATCGCTCGTGGACATCAGCGCGTCCCCAGCATCACATCACACTGCGATAACAACACGGCTCTATTTCGATTGCTGACATACACACTTTATTCATGTGTTTTTCCAATCATAGATTTGAAATGCGTCGAAATTTTTCACGCTGGCGTTGGATTTATTGGGCTCACTACCATTGTAGTTCGTAATTGCAGCTGCTAGCGTTAGCATTGTTGCTAGTGATCGGATGGTACAATGCATCTTTAAGCTGGTTATTATTTGCCTCCGGAAAAGGATAAGTCACATTGCATGTTCTAACTATTTATTTATTTTGCTCAGAATCGGTGAAGGCAGAATTGTTTTTCGTTTGTTTGTTATCAATCACAAATATGGGAACTAGCATATTTGCTCCCAATTATTATTCTTACAGATGTTCATTAATATGCATTTACAAAAATATACATTGTCCCCAACAAATACAAATTGATTACTGGTATTATTCTGCTCTTTCATCCAGCCCTGGGTTGAGGGCCAACTTAATATATATTTTAATCAAGTATTCTACAACCTATGATTAATCGTTAAAATTGCATCTTTACATTAAGTGCATATTTAAAATTAAATACACCTAATATAATTTTACGTGGGAACTTTCAGGAACTAGTTCAAATTGTCTGCGAAAGAGCAGTGTTATGATTGAGAGTTGTCAAAGCTTTTCATCTAATCGATTATTCAAATTAACTTGATTTATCTCATTAGCCCTAATTCTGTCAGTGGGATATGTTCATTTGAATATAATAATTTTTTTTTATCAAAATAAAATACTATACTTTTTATGGACATTGTTTTATATATTATATTGTTTTAATATTGGTGTCAATGTGAACAGAATTCAGCGATAAGCCGCTGAAACTGGTGCTGAAGGTGTCGGGAAATGAAGTGACCACTGGAAGCTCGAGTCGAGACACTTTCTACGATGATCAATCCACAGACAATGACAAGCCCATTAAGGATAAGAAAAAGAAGAAGAAAAAGGACAAAGATAAGGGTTTCAGTTCACCAGATGAAAAGGGAAAGAAAAAGGTACATTTAATAATAATTAAATTGTATTTTTCTAATGTTGAAAGACAGCCCTTCAGTGACTACTAATCCAATACAGCTTGTAAATTATATGTTTACATTTCCTGGAAGTATTTTAAACGCTGATCACTTTAATGTTTTCAAATAATATTTTCTCTGTTCATTACACGAGTGATTGGTCTTTGGTCCATTCACACTTCTTGGTTTGGTTCACTCTAAGATAAGATAAAAACGTTATTTGTCCCTCAGTGGAGAAATTTCAATGTCATCGTTGTGCACATTACTGCAGAATAAAAGGAGAAAATAAGAGCATTCAAGTTATGCACACACCAAACAGGATCTATTTCTTTAACATAATGATGATAATAATGAGATATTAAAACAAACAGCAAATAATAAGGACTAATGAACACTGCCAACTTGATCCCACGTGTCATGCATCAGTGCAATATCCTTAACTTACATCAGAAGGTGCAATAACCACATGTCACTGTCAATTTACTGAGTCCCTGTGTCAGAGCCTCATGCTGACAATGTACAGATGTAAACATACTGCTGCTAACATGTACAGATGTAAACATACTGCTGCTAATGTACAGATGTAAACATACAGCTGCTAATGTACAGATGTAAACATAATGCTGCTAATGTACAGATGTAAACATACTGCTGCTAATATACAGATGTAATCATACTGCTGCTAATGTACAGATGTAAACATACTGCTGCTAATGTACAGATGTAATCATACTGCTGCTAATGTACAGATGTAAACATACTGCTGCTAATGTACAGATGTAAACATATAACTACACTTTGCTTGCACTAGAATACACAGTACTTTATACTTGCCTCTTATTTTGCAAAATGTAAACGTTTTACACTTATTTTTATTATTATTTTCAAGATATATATTTTATACTTGTTATTGATGCCAGAGTTAGAGATTTTGTTTTATTTTAATTAATTAGTATAGCTACTGTTCACTTAACTTGCCGTGTGCTCCTCTTTCCTAGTGTTTTATAACTTGTGATGCAACACTGAAATTTCCCCACTGTGGGACGAATAAAGGATCTCTTATCATTAATCTTAAATTAACTCTGGAGCTATAATTGCATTTGGCTCAAGGATTAGTAATAATTTGTGGAGTATACACTGTAGTTAGCAGCAGTCATGGGATTACTTACACATGTTTATAACTGACTGACTGATTCAGGTTCATTTGGGACAAAGATGCTTTTTTTGTAGATGTAAAACCACAAACAAGGGAACATATGTGCACCAATAACCAAAGTCAGTTTAGAATTGTTGGTAACTGTTGAACAACATCCTCAGTCAAAAGCGTTTTACTGAAATGCTTAAAATTATTCATATTTTATATGTCAGATGGCAAAAAAGAGAAAAGCCCAGGATGCTGAAGGGGATGAGGACTCAGAGCAATGCAGAACTCCAATACGCTCTGAATTGGATAAACTCGAAGGTTGGTTACACGTTGAGTCCTTAAATCTGTTTTCTATTTGGGTTATTATGCTTTAATTTAAACCTCCGTCTTGTGCAGCTCAGAAAGAACAGAGTCCTCTGCAGGAAGCCTTGAACCAGCTTCTCCGGCAGCTTCAAAGGTATTTTGATTTTCATGTTGTTAATATTTAAGAAGAATTAAGTGGATTGGGACTTTTATATTGTGTTTGCTTTTTTCTTAGGAAAGACCCCAGTGCATTTTTCTCATTTCCTGTCACAGACCTTATTGCACCTGGATACTCTGTTATTATCAAGCGCCCTATGGATTTCAGCACAATGAAGGAAAAAGTAAAGAAAGAGCACTACCAATCACTGGATGAACTCAAGGTATTTACTTGTAATTGGCACAAATGAAAGTTTTTTGAGCTTCTATCCACTGGTTGTTGAAGGAGTATAATTACTACACTGTGTTCTGTTTAAACAGGTGGATTTTAAGACCATGTGTGAAAATGCCATGACTTACAACAAACCTGAGACCATTTACCACAGAGCTGCACGGAAGCTGTTATACTCTGGAATGAAGATCTTAAATCAAGTAAAGAATGTTTTTATTATTTGATTTGGTTCATAGATTTCAAACAATAGAACAATCTATTTCAGCGTTTTTCAAATGTGAACCTTTATTGAGGCGGAGAAATAATGTGTTATTTCAATCTGTTGTTGTAGTATCTGTAAGAGAACACTGAGTGGCAATACAGAGTTAATGTTTTATTGCTTCATCCTGCACAGAAAGACTAACCTGTTATTTTCACTTCATGAAAGCCTTTCGACATCAAGCTTTCAGAAGCCTGGAGTAAAAATAATATGTTTTGGTTTTCTGCAGGAGAGACTACAGAGTCTGAAGCAAAGCATTGAGTTCATGTCTGGTCTGAGCCCCTCAGTCAAACAGTCTGGGAAGTGTGATGAAGCTGCCGCTCTGTACCCGAGCAGAGAGGGAGTCATGGCCACCGACAGTGAGAGCTCCCAGGCTCCAAGCACTCCCAGGTTTCTCCTACAGAATCTGCTTAATCCTTCCATTATACCACAGGCATTTCCTTTTTAACTAAGATAGAAGATAGAAGACCTTGTGAGATTCAAAACTTTATCAACTATAGCAAGAGACTAGAGTTGTTGTTCTCCTTTTGTTGATTAATTGTCAATGCTGTAAATGTCCACAATGTGGTCAGAAACAACTTTTTTATGTCAGTTAACTGTATCATTACAATGTTCAGTGAATGGGCAAACCTTTTTCCAGTGACGCTTTAGACTAAAGAATGTCAATGAGCGAGCTGGGTCATGTTTGCTGCTCTCACAGTGCACCTTTCTAACTGCTGTGCTGTTGCCCAGTGATATAACTAAAACCAGCACATAAAAAAGACACATGGCCGAGAGATGCCTTGTCTCCACTTTTGTATTCAATAGCCTTCAACCTTGCGCCGCTATAAAAGAGATGCATTGGTTCACAAAATGAATTGGGCTTTTTCACGTCAGAGAAATGTTTACTGGTAGTTTCGCAGCAGAATTAAACTCAAGTGTAGGCGTATGTGCCTCTTCTTGCAGAACTTTGCAGCAACTTTGCAGTTAGAATATATTTTTATGGTTTTAAATGTTTTCACTGCAGACGCGACAAGGACTCTAAAGAGGACCTGGCAAAGGCAGAGAAAGAGCTAGAGGAAATCCGCAAGGTCATTGAAGAATCCAGCGGAAAGCTCTCAAACAGAGTGCTGCAATGTGATGTAAGACACAATCTCAGTTTTATTCAGTTATCCTTTCACCGCAGAGCTAGTGTGTTATGCAACTGAATATACATAATTAAAACAGCCTTGAAAATAATGTGTTTTTCTATAATGACTCAAGATAGGAAAAAATATATTCAGTTTCAAAGTTCAACAAAACAGTTCTTCGTCACATCAGTGATAGACCTCTACTTTTTTCATTATCACAGAGCATTTTCTTATTATAATGAACATATAAATTGGCAAGTTTGAATTGATAAACATTGAATCATAAGCCTTGATGAAAACTATATGTTGAAAAAGTCATGTTCTGTTTGTAGCTGGAGTTTATTCGTCAGAACACTGATGGTTCCACAACCCTGGCCATTCTCAACTCTGCTGATCCAGCTGTCGGTGGTGAGTGATGCTGCCTGGGCCTATTTTCTCTTTTATTAATGAACAGTCAACATTGCACATTTTTTTTAAATTTTTGCTTTTAAAGATGCGGGTTACTGCCCTGTCAAGCTGGGCATGATGTCCAGCCGACTGCAAAACGGCGTCAACTGTCTACAAGGCTTCCGAGAGGACAAAAGAAATAGACTCACTCCAGGTGCCTGCTTTTCCTTCTTCACTAAAAGCAAACGAAATACCACCCAGCGCTAAATGAGCTGCTGTTAACTCATTTTCAGTGTCCTACATGAACTATGGGCCATTTACCTCCTTTGCGCCCACTTTCGACTCCAGCTTTGCCAACGTCAGTAAAGAGGATTCTGACCTCATCTACTCCTTCTATGGCGAGGAGTCCAGTCTGCAGGGCACAGACAGGTATGTGATCACCGTGGCACAAGCCTTCAACGTCATTTAGGACATTCCACAATTATCTGCCAGATGTTGTGTGATGAAATAGACACAGCTGGATATACCTGAGCAATGGTTGTCCAGAAGTCTCCCATGCTTTTTCGTGTTTCCTCACATTCATGACTTTGCTTTGTGTGAGTACATGTAACAGGTATTATTATAGTTGGTAGTGTCTTTCTGACAGTGTGTAGGAGGTGCAGCGGTGGCTTCCTTTGTGTTTACCGCCCTCTCATTGTAGTACTCGGAACAAATGTGCTTCTTCATTTTCACTTTCGCCTTCAAGTTCACACAAAACAATAGCTTTATTCTTGTCTTTCTCATTTTCTTACAGTTTATCAGAGTTCATGGCTAAATCAGATGAATATGTGTATAAAATGGCTGACAACATTCTGGATGCAATGACAAATGGAGAGCATTCCAAATCGTTGAAGGAGACGGGAGGAAAGGTAATAGTTTGTTTTTAAACCATTGTAATGGTTGTTTTGGAACGATCCAACATCTGGACGTCAGATACAGTTGTAATCTATTACTAACTACAAATAGTTGATTTTTTTATACAGAGAATCAGCTATTTTTCAAATGCTTTCTTCAACTTTGAAATAAATAAATAATATTTAAAAACATAAAAAAATAATTAATTAGTCTCAACCACAACATTATACAGGCCAAATAACCAAATATTTCCTGGATAATGTTGTCGATAACATCCAAAAACTAGAATAAGATTTCCCTCTTACCCAATTCTTATTTCTTGTCTTTTTAGCCTGTGGATGTACCAACGATTGCCAAAGTAGATGACAAAGATGACAAGGAGGTGAGGGAGGAAATTGTACTGAAATGTCAATCCATTCTTGCCAGAGAAAAAAAGCTATATTTTCCTTTTACTACTGTGTGCTTCTTTGTCTCAATCTCTCACATGGAGTTGAAAAATGTAACAAATTTTGGCATTACCATCATATATATATATATATATAATTATATATACACACACATACTTATATACCGTCCACAGATGGATTCTGCATCATCCAGCTGCGTCAACATAATGGCAAGTTAGCAGTGACCTGAAGAGCCATGAAAAAAACAGGTCCCTTCAACACAGTGTTAGTCATTGAGAGCTGCCATTGGAAGTTGGGGAGGCCTCTGTTTTTCTTTCTGCGCCCGCTTGCTGTGCGCCTCAATTGGCCCTCAGAGCAGCAGAGGAAATAGGAGTGGAGTCCTCAGTCACACACAGAAAGCCTCTGTGCTTTTGGCTGCACTCTGCTCTCATCCTCTACTCCCGTATCACCGCTTTGTTAGCTTTGACCAGTGGAATGACTAAATGACTCAAGAGCATGTTTAAATGGCTAAGTAGCAGTCCTGGGATTTATCATTAAACCATTTTCCTTTTATGTGACAGGCAAAGGAACCCAATACCTCCAAAATTGACAGTGAGGCTGATGAACAATGCACTGAAGGTAATGATGCGAAGACGGCATCCTCTGAGCAGCCTACTTTCTGGATATTCAGGGTAGCTTCATCACAACAAACACAAGATTAGATATATTGTGATAAAACTACTGCCTAGGAAGTTTTTACGGCAATAACACTAAAACAATGTCTCAGAATAATCACAGTAAACAAAGCAAATCCTTCACTTCATTTTCTTTTGTGTATGTTTCAGCTCCTGAATCACTATACAGGAGCTGAAACACACACAATAGAAAATCATTGATATCCCCAAATAATCTCCCCATAGTTAATTTTTTAATGGACATATTTATTGCACTTCAATATGTATGTATTACTCATCAATAATCAAGAGGTTGTGTTTATGTTGAAGACATTTTGAAAAAGAAACAGTCCAAATGTTTTCCCAGATCGTCATTTGATTCACAACCTTGTCACATTATTCTTGTGTCTGAAAGTCCTTACGATTACTGGCCAAAATCATCTCATTGTGTTTTTGGAATACTGTCAGCACTTTTAGACACCTTTTTAGGAAAAAATAATCTGACAAAAATAAGTGGGGACCATGTGGCTTGGCCCAGAAATAAGCAAGCAGACTGACTTTTGACAGTTACCATAGTTACCAGGAAAGACGTTTAAGCTGCCCTCTGATACATTTTTAAACTATAGGGTCTTATGAATGTTGTGATGTCACATGGACGCAACCTATATCATAATAGTAATCATTGTAAGCGGCCTGTCCATGTAATTGATGTGATATACTGTATAGTTTGTTCATCCTGAGGCCACCCCCGGCCTACGATGTGTCTGATTTGAGCTAATGTGTTGCCCTTTCTCTTAATCAGACGTCTTGCACATCCAGCAGAAACTGGATGAGACTACAAAGTTACTGCGTGACTTGCAAGCTGCTCAGAGGGAGCGTCTAAGCACTAAGCAACCACCTAATATGATCTGCCTTTTGGCCCCAACCACCAAGGAGCTGGAGCTGGGTAAGAATCACACTTTGTTCTCAAGGCCAGCTGGGGAGCGCTCACCAGGTGCCCAAAGCTAAGTGGATTATTCAGGCCCGCAAGGAAAGAAAGATGAAATGTGGGAGTTGCTTAGAAAGACAATCTACAAGTTGGGTAGGGTTCACAGCAGCCCGAAGGGAGAAGACAATTTGAGCTCTATCTCCCAAACAAAAACAGTTATTTTATCTGTGCTATTATATACATTGATTTGTATTTCTTGCTTGCAGTTGAAAAAGTGACTGGAAACTTGACAAAGCTGACTGGACGGGTGGCTCCGAGTGATGTCTGCAGTCTCCATGGTGTTAGGAAAGCTATGGGCATTTCCTTACCCATCGAAATGACAGAGGATTTTGTAGACCTATCTGAAGGTAAGACACAACGCGTTAAATATACAGAAATGCAATGTAAATATAAACGCAAGCCTAATCCGGAATATGTGCGTATGCTTTCAGATCAAGAACCTGCTGAACCCATGGAGGCTTTAGCAACGTGTCCAGATGGAGCACCAGTTGTTGCTGTAAAATGAATCACATTTCCAAGCTGAATAATTTAAGTTTTGTAATCTTTTGTGCGACGTTTGTATGCATTTCAAACAATAAACATTTTATATAAAGTTGTTTGTTAATGATCAGTGTTTCGACTGACGAGACATTTATTACATTCTGTACAAAATTCAAGCGTTTGTTCACAAAAAAGGCAAAAGACCACATTTTCCAGATATTAAGATAAGGCACACAGAGATAAACGTTGAGGAAATGATAAGTAACCAACAGCAGAGTGACACATGTAACACACATTCTCTGAGACAGCGAGCGCGAGCAGATGGTCCTCATGCAGCACATGTATTCATATTTTCACTGAATTTTAAAAACGTTCATCCTGCCAAGCTGCTGACGGAATCTATTTTGCCTGTAATATACTCCTAAACCAGATAGGTAAAAAAAAGTCGCTTCATTCATAACCATTTTATGAATTGTGTAAAGCAGTTGTTGACCAGTCCTTTCCACATATGCTTTGCTAAATGCTTATTACACGGTAAAAGCAATTTGCGAAGGGTATTTTTCAGAATGACCCAAAACGGATCCTTAGTATTTTCAAAGCCCCATAGGTCTTCAAATTCTTAAAACTCCATTACATTTACAAAAGATAAAAGGCTCCGTAAAGGACGTTAAGCTGTTGAATGATGATTCCTAAAGGATGAGTGTTCTACAGGTCTCAGCGAAGTCCTGCGTGTCTTCATGGTCCGTGGTTGTTGAGGATGTAAACTTGTGACTAAAGTACAGTCTTTCAGATCAGCTTGCCTCAGCTCAGACCCATGCCCTGCTGCTTACTCATGTCCGTACATACAAAAAATGTCTTTAATTCTCCCTTTCCTTTCACATTGATGAACCCTCGACATTCACATGAGTAGCCCAAGTTGTGGAGCACAGTTGTGGTTTCTTCTGTAACCTATAACAGGGTGATAAAGTTGATTCATTTATTTATTTACACAAATTACACTTTTATTATTGTTCTAAAATGCATAAGTTTACCTGTATTTTCCCAAGTTCCCCAGTGCTCTCCATTCTACTGGCCACATTAACGGTGTTGCCCCAAATGTCATACTGAGGTTTCCTTGCTCCAATCACTCCAGCTATGACTGGACCATGATTAATGCCTGTAAATATATACAAGATTGTGGTATTATGTTTCTTTGTTAGATGTTACGTATGAGCTTTCTAGACTCTAGCTTTCTATTTTATACAAGTTTTTTTTTTTAAACGAGCAGCTTTTGGAAAGTACCCAAATAGAATAGTGTATTGATTTCAAAAAGTCAGGCTAAAAAAAATGTCCTTTAATTTACTAAAGATTGATAGTTTATGTTGACTGCATTTTTTCATTGTTCAATGTGATTGTTACCAATACTGAACACAAACAAGACATCACTTTTGGAGATGAACAGGTCATTTGGTGGAGGATACGTACCCACACGCAATCTGAAGTTGTTGAAGGAATGTCTATTTATGCCGTCCAATTTGCCAATTAGAGCAATGGCAAACTCCACCATGATTCCTATCTGAGCGTTTTGTCTGTCTGGGTCCTGTATTTAAAAACATAGAATTATTGCTTCAGTTTTCTAGGAATATACAGAATGTAATATTGAATTCCTCACCTGATTGTTCTCCTGGCCCGGTGAGCCACTCAGTCCTGCAGCTGCCATGTATGTGCTCCCAATGGTTTTGATCTTTTCAACGCCACTGAACTTTGGTTTGGACAGCAGCTGTAATTAAAGGAGCTTAGTTTGAGCTCTACAGAGACAGCAGCAAACAACAGGATGTAACGTAATTAGACTAACCTCGTCAAAATCAGCAATGATTTCATTGAGCAGCCTCAGACATTCCAGTCCTTCTTTGTTGATGTCACATTCTGTGTAGAATTCCTTAAAATCGGGCACTGAGGCGAACATCACACATACACAGTCGTAAGACTTGTAGTACAAGTCCTGTTGACAAAAAGGCAAGTAATTCTGACATATAGCCCACTAAATATTTATTGGACATTTAGAAAAACTGCTTTCATACAAGTTTGCAATTAAGCTACAATAAAGTATGAGTGTTTCTCATCTTATGAGAAACAACCTGTACTGATATGCTTGTATATTCTCTAACCCCCAGTGTCACATTATAATGATGAAAATGTCTACACATTCAGTCCTTTAGAAGTCTAATCCCAGAAAAGTCACCTCGTTCTTTTTGTTTTCACCAACAAAGAGTGAAGCCACATGTGCAGGCAGCACGTTCTCCAGGAGCAAACGGTTGAGGTTTTCTCTAGTCCCGATCTCGTCCTGCTCTGTGCGGTTCTTATACTTCAGTAAGAAGTCCTGACGAAAGCATGCCTCATTCTAGCAGAAATCACATCACACTTTTCAACCAGCTCAGCACCATAGGATCAGGATGTCTGTGTGCTTACCTGTTGTGAAATGATGAGCATCGTCACCAGGAATAAAGTGATGTAGATGCAACTCATGACCTGTGGGTGCTTCACGAGGCCTAAACATCTCAGAATAGACTCTGCTTCTTGGCTGAAAACAAAAAACATAAATAATCCTTTGTCTACAGACATACTTTGACACAGATAGACCTTACCCGCTGCAATTCCAGCTTCCTGGAACTTGAGCAAACGAGACATTTGCATAAAACTCAAAGAGCTCATGGTTGTACGTGAGAATGAGGACATAGTAAATCACAGAAGCCGAGGTCAGGAAAAGCACTTTGAGCTCAAAGCTCACTCTCAGAAATACTCCACATGCAATCAAAGACAGTATACAGCAGAGCACGGAGTACTGTCGGAAGAAGGCACACAACCAGAATTAGCTTCAACCAAAATAATGGATTTCTTTAATTTATGAGGAGAAAAACCGCAGTACACTTACAGGGAGGTAGTAAAGGTCTTCTTCTAAATCCTGAATGTCGGTCACACATGTCTGGCCAAAGCACTGAAGGAAAGTAAAAACATATTTGACTCACATGTGACCAGAGAACAAAATGCGTTCTCGTGTGGCATGACAGTTATGAAGTCTCGCTACAAATAGAAAAGTACATAATGTCCTTGTCTCGGCCCTCAGCAGACTTACCAGGTTGAACACAGCCATTATAATGATGACCGCAGTAGTAGTTGTGGCCAAAGGGAGGCGCACACACGGCTGTTTGACCACAGCCTCTGACACAGCTGGAAGCCACTGACAGTGTGTCAACTTCTCTGGGAACAGGTGCTGACAAGAAGAACAAAGAGAAAATGTCATTTATCTTCAGCATCATGTTTGGTGGGCAGTGACACATGCCTGGCCTGAAGTCACATCCCAAAGCTGTCGAGCCAAAAGAGTCTTTAAGACGGCCTCACTCTCGGAGGCGTTCTGTTATACAGCAACATGTTTTTTTTCCTCAAGAGATATTTTCAACATCATGCAAATTCTTAGTGTCAACCAAAAATGTGGATGAAGCTGAATTGCTTTGCTCAATTAGTAAACAGAAATTCCGATGCCATGTTACTGTGGTGTCTGTAAAGAAGACATTCTGGAAGAAGTCTGTATTCTACATTTATCTAAACTGATGTGCCAACCTGAATGTTTCCTGCGAAACAAATGGCCAGGGCGAGCAGCAGGACACAAATCAGGACTCCAAATGTGATCCCCAGCTTCTGTTGACTAAAGGACAGCACCGTAACACATTTATCACAAGTTAAGTTCAAATATAATTTGATGCAGAAAAAGTGACTTACTTTTCTGTTACAAATATCTGAACCAAGAAGATACATACAAAGATGAAAGTAGCACATCCAACATAGTGCTTAAACATCGGCAAATCTAGAGCTCGATACTGTGAAGAGGAAAATAGCAATTCAATCAACCTTTTTCTGAAATGTTTTAAAATAATATAACTGCATAAGACATATTGTTTCGGATAGTGTTACTAGTGTTCCGAACCTGCTTCTCCAGGTCTTTTTTTGGAAACCAAAGTGCTAAACTACCGGTATCTTCAGACTTGGACCACTGCCTGTGACAGAGGACAGTATCTTGTTACAAGCCTTGAAGTCATTAGAAACGTTTAAACAACATCCACCTACTTGCTGCTTAGCTCATCTATCGTGGTTGTCATTTCATTGTGAAGTTCCTCATCGAATTTACTTTTTTGGGATTTGTTCCTGCATGAGAAAGGACAATGAGTGCTTGGCACCGAGATGAAAGAACAAGAAGATTCTAAACCAAATCATGCAGTGCAGTGACCCAGGGCAGCAACTTTTAATACCATTGAGAGCATTAGTTGGATATAGTAGGGAAAGAGATGGTTTCAGGCTGTTAAAAAGCTGCACAGAAGATGGTGCTGTTAGATGAAGGTGTCACTGTGATTCTGGAAACTCCCCACTCGAACAGGAAGGAAACACAGATGCACCAACCCAAACCAGCGCCTGCAATAGGACCAGTGCAAGCCACCCTGCACTTCGGCACCACGTTATGATCAAAGGTTAGACAAAACCTGTTAGTACAGGGACCACCAGTCGTTCTCACAATGCTTTTTGGCAAACATTTAAATTATTTAGTCTTGGAAGTGAACCATAATAGTAATTTAAATGCACTTGTATGGAGGAAAAAGCAATGTGGTCACAAGGCAGTGGGTTTAAAAATGGACCTTGCATGCCACAAAGGCCCCACTCACTTATAGCTGCTGAATGGAGGAGGAGACAATGTGAACGGCTCTTCAAGACACTCATCAAAACTGTCCAGACCCAAGAGTGAGACAAAACAAAACTACACATCACAAATCACAGAGAAGAATGGAATCAACCGATATGCATCATCAGTATTCAGCACTTGCTCCTTAAAGGTGACATTATCAACTGATTGTATTTCTTTTTTTGTACTGTGAAGGAATTAGTAAAATCTATCAGAAAGCTGTTTCTGATTGATGGCCTTGTGTCTGACCTTCATTTCAAAGGGGGATATATATATATATATTTTTTTTTTAATTAACCATAATTGCAAGCGAACCAGTGCTTTTATCTGATAATTGTCTGTTCTCTTTTAAAAAGGGCTCCAAACAGGCTCCAAACCTAGATTTAATTCACAGAGCTGAGGCTACATGACCGTAAAGAAATTTTATTCATATTAAAGTCATTGGCATGTTAGACTCATTGTGTGACATTCATTTTGACTTCTGGTAAGAAGAAAAACATCAAAAACACCAAATGGAGCTATTATACCTAACTTTGAAACCACAAAGTTGGTTGGACTCATTTTGGAAGTTCTCATTGTGTGGTTTTCCCGTTACACAGCAATCCGGTCACAGAAAAGCATCTTCATCTCCTCGATAACATCCAACCCCTACTACACATCTTTAGACCATCTTTTTCAGTGGAAAAGAGGACCAGCCTTTACTTTACTTTCACATTATGGGTTTGCACCGGACATAATAAACACAACAATAATAATCCACGTCAGACAATTTACATGCTGTGTGAAAAGTGTGGTTGAATCTAGAGAATGTTTCCAACAAGCAAGGAGAGTTTGCTTTCAGCATCCTTGCATAGCGACACGCTACAATGGAATGATTTAAAGCTATATTGTACTGCACTGAGTGATTTGTTATTGATTCAAATGTCCTTTCAATCAAACAAATGGCAATGAAATAGTACAAAGACCCTTGAAAATATATGACTATATTAAGAAAAAAATTGAATTCAAATGAGATTAATTCTTACCTTTCAGTAAAAGCAGAGCTCACAGCTGATCGAAGCGGGATGTCCTGGAGAAAGAGCGGAAATTAAAGTATTCAATGAATGTAAATACCAGAAAACAGTCCCATGTAACACCAGGACAATACCTGGGATAAGATACTAACTCATTCACATGGTTGGTTCTGAAAATAAACTGTATTTAAAGCTACCTTGCGAGCTTTTCCGTTCACAATGTTGTCAGCGATGAATCCTTCTCGGTTCTGAAGGTGGGCAAATGGTTTCACGGCTCCCCATGACTCGAGATAACGGGTCATACGCACTGATGCTCTCATTTTTATACCGTCATTCACTCGAGGTTTAGGTGCACTGCGCGTGTTCAGCAGTGGGTCCTTAGACTTGAACAAATACACATGATATACTGTAGATTAAAATGACTGTAGTGTCAAATACATTCTGTGCTACAGATTTAACTCACTCGTGGATCAATGACCAGGTAAGTTTTGACGTTGAGTTCCTTGAGATAAGGGTCTCTCAGATGACCGTTGCCTTCCTCTACCTCATAAGCCTTGTTAAGGTGCTTCAAAGTGGCCTCTGTTATGTGGACACGTCTAAACGCAAAAGAGTTAAAATCAGGGCTTTCATCTGGAGATTGGTGGGATGTTATAGAATCTATAAGTACGTCGTATCATTTCCACTTGATTTGGTAAGAAACAAGGTTTACTCTCAGACATGTTTTAAAGAAGAAACACTGATATTATTTCTGGCCATTAAAATGATAATGAGACTATTTACTCATTGAATATTTATATATATATATATGTGAATATATATACATATACAGTATATATATGTATATATAGTGAAACAATGATGAAGGGTTATTAAAAAGAAGCCTGTAATTTTCTATGGTACCAACAGAGGGAGGAGGTTTTATTCCCCCAAATTTGAAAATTACAGGCTGCAAACTCAATTAAGCGATTGTAATCTGATAAATTTCATCTGATAAATTATTGAAATTATTACAGGACTAAGACAGCAGCTTTAGAGAGAAGTGGCAGAGTTAAGTTTTTCTACCAATTCCTCATAACACAAGATCTATTTTTGATGAAGGAACAATACTGTAATAAGGTTAAAAGCTCAAAACAGTTGATTTTGCTAATGATACCACCTTTAAAAACTTAACATACCCAGGTACACCTCCAGACTCCATGTGATTGGCCAGAGTGACATCATGAGACCACACATCAAACTGCCATTTGCGAAGGCCAATAACACCACAGAGCACATTTCCTGAGTGAACTCCCACTCTCATGTTGATTTCCACCACAGTAGCTTCCCGCACCTGTCTACAGGTCAGAGACACACTCAACATCCACTTGTGTTTGCACAGTTTGGAGTTTGTGAAGGGAACTTACTTGATGGCTTCACACATGTCAAGGCCCATTTTGACACAGTTCTTGGCATGCTTCGGCAGAGACACTGGCAGTCCAGACACGCAGTAATAACAGTCTCCAAGGATCTTGATCCGCATGCACTCATTTTCCTGTGTTGACATTGGATATTGATATTATCATGCAGCAAACAGTATTTCATGAATAAGTCGTGTAGAAGCAGAGAATAGCTTAACCTTGGCGATTTGGTCAAACTTTCCAAACAGCTCATTAAGCATAATAACCAGTTCCTTTGGAGAGCAGTCGCTGGCGAGTTGGGTGAAGCCAACTATGTCTGCGTAAAGAATGCTGAATGTAAAAAAAAAACATGTGTTTCATTAAATGAATAAAGCAATCCATAACAAATAAATGTACTGCATGTAATGTTTCTTTGTATTTGAAGCTGGGGTACCAAACTTTTAAAGCCACAAAAAAATTATCTGACAAAATCCAATCTCTCAAAACATTTGGTTCTGTGACCAGTTTTCACACGCATGTGTTTGTGGCCTCAGATCTTTAGATCAGCTTTTGTAGACAGATAAGCGAAACAGAGAAATCCACACCCAATCAACTCTTAGTCCAAAAAATTGTCAAATAGTGACTCATACTCAAAAGATACTGTAACATGTTTGCCAAAGACTGTAAATAGATAGGCAGCGCTAGTTCAATGACGCCCAACAGGGAAGTGTTCACGGACAAAGTTTTGCTCCAACTTTGGCTCCTATTTAGTTGCATTGTAAATTAAACTCATCTAGCTTGTATCACAATCCATGTTATAGCATTTTTTATGATCCTTTCGCTCTCGTCAAACACTACGGTGACATCAGCACTCAGTCAGTCCAGTCCTAATATACAGTCTAAGATGTTCTATAATTAGATAAAGCATTTTGTGAATGCATTTCTGATTTGCTTATAGAATTTTACTTGTACAGGACTCTTTCTGTGGGTCAAAGAGTATGGATTATTCATCAAAAAGGAAAGTACCACATCTTTAAATCTAGATTCAAGCTTTAATAACTAATGTGAGATAGATCCAAGTACTAGACAACAGGCAGCTGTAGTTTTGGCAAACCTTCACAAAGCCAAATCCAAGAGAATGTAATGGCTGCAACTCATGAACTTTCTTTCCAAATATTGCTTTCCAAAAGGGTACTACAGCAGTATTCACACAGCAGTAAGACAGACTGGCCTGATGTGTTAGCAGGTGATGGACAAAAGAGCTAATGACTGGTCTGACAAATGTAATCATAGACTTTGGTTAAAGATGCAACCTATCGTTAAAGGAACCCAAACATGACAATAGCTCTGTGATTATCAAACAGAACCTTCCAAATGAGTTGAATGGATTTCTCAAGCACTCTGGTTTGAGGCAAAAAACACAGCCCTGTATTTATAAAAGCCATTCCCGTATATCCGCCACAAAGAGCTGCCGAGCCATCTGCCAGAGTTCCCTTTAAGCTGACCTACTGTCTGTCCGCACGAACTACATTAATGAAAGCCTTGTAAAATGAGGAGCTGTAACTGGGCCACGGCACTGAAAACATAAGACAATAATCTCTTGTCTGTTTGGAGAATAGGACAGAAATATCAATTTTCTCAAGTACTTTTCAGCTAGCGTCATCATTCATATTTTGCTATAGAATAAACAATAGTCCAAACATTTACTCAGTGGTAAAAAATGATACTGTGTTTAAAACTTATTATGACATCGTTCTTAACAGATGCTGATGTTTTTGAAGCAGGTATACTGTACCTCACGTTCTCGTGGCGCTTCACGTAGAGGCTATGGAAGTTGTTATCTTTGACTAGCCGCTGTCTCTCCTCCTTATCTTTACAGTCTTGTAAGCGCTCCATAATTGCTAGCTTCATCTTCATGGAGATGTACACAGGGAGAACAGACTGCAGGAGGTTTTCCTGGAACAAACACAACCAGATGCATTTAGATTTTGAACATTTGGCTACACACACTGCACTATTGTTATACTTTACTTTGGCGTTGAGGCAATTATTATAAGTGTAAATGACTAGCGTGACTGTGCTAGTCAAATTACTTGAAGCTCAGAATCTGCAGAATTCACTCCACACATTAGTTAAATAAGTAATCTTCATTGTGTCAACTTCAGCTCCACTTAAATCATATTCAATCAAGCTGATAAAGCTCTGAAAATCCTGCATTTACTAATTAAATGGAAAATATATATTCTTTGTGTGTTTGCGATTATCTAACGTCAAAGAATAAAGCTTTTATTCCGTAAATAAATATTATATGGTGAAAAAAATCGACCCGAGCAATATCCCTAAAAATGAATATCAGATTCAAGCAATTCCATCGTCCGTTTATTGTTGCACTTTCAATAAAAGTAATATATATATATATATATATATATATATATATTAAAATACACAACAGAGTGCCTTTCACAATACAGTGTCTTGTGTATTTCATATTATTGTAATGAACTCTGACCACCTATAATTGTGTGTTCAGCTATTGTCTAAGCTGGAATTGAATCAAGCACTGGATAAATTGCTTTTACAAAACATTGTTCAAAGGGACAAAGATAGTGGGCAAATTGTGAATGCCCTGCAGCAGTGAGATGAGTGTAACACTAAAACATGTTTGAAGACATGCTCGTATTCTTCTTTCTTCCGCATGTAGAATCCCAAAAGGACTAATGCACTAATGATACACACAATCCCTGTGTGTTTAGACAGCTATCTTTGTGTGTGAACATGTGGGGCAGCACAATGGCTGAGTGGCATTAGAACTCTCGCCTCTCAGCAACAAGGTCCGGGGTTCGAATCCCGGTCGGAACAGGGCCTTTCTGAGTGGAGTTTGTCCCGTGTCTGCGTAGGTTTCCTCAATTTATGCTTAATAGGTAAAATCCTCCAGCTACGGCTGACCAAGCCGAATATCAACATCTGGAGATGGGTCCCTGGGTGCTGTACTACAGTGACCACTGCTCCTGACAAAGCCTTAGTGGAATCAGGATGGGGCAAAAGCAGAGGACACATTTACCCACGGGGACAATAAAGTGCACATTTACGGTGTGTGAACTAACCTGTTGTCGCTTCTCTATTTCCAGCTTCATGCGCATGCTCAGGCTCCTCAGCGTGTCTTTGAATGTTTGCCGTAGCGTTTTCTCCATCAAGACTTTATGAAACGCTCCAACAATACAGCCACAAAGAAACACCACTGCATTTGCCCCAAGCTATAACATAAGGATAGAAAATGTGAGCACCTCCGCAGCAGCGGCTCAACAAAACTGTTGATGATAATGACAACTGTCAGTACCTGGTTTGGAAGGTGAGGTGAGAGCTGCTCGCTGTACACTGTGAGTCGCAGTGTAACAGCCACAATGTGGGACACTGAGGAGGCTATGCTGAGGAGCACCGCGTGCCACAGCTGGAAGGGCAGCATTGTGTACACGGTGAAGATGATGAAGAGGAAGAAAGGCACCTGAAAGTACACTTCCATTCATGAGAAATGCATCAATCCATGATTTAGAGTGCAAAAGACCTCTGAATATCAGTTCCACAAAGACACATCATATTTAACATAATCATATTAAAGGAGCAATATGTAAACATCTGGCCAGAAGTGGTACTGCAATCTCTCCTACTCTCTCTGACTCAGGTTGCCAGATATGCAGATGAGTCCAGCTGGGACCATAATAGCTGGATACAATACAATGCAATACAATACAATTTATTCTTGTATAGCCCTAAATCTCAGAGGACTTAACAAAACCATTGGAATCACCAAAACAGATCAGAGAATCAACAGTTAAGACACAAAAAAGAATATAGAACACATGTTGATACATGTCCATCCATGTTGTAGAATGTTAAAGAGTTCTGGATCAGTCCTTTTTGTTAGACACTAACTGTCCAACAGACCCTACTGCATCGGCAAAAAAAAAAACAGTGGGAAAAAAGTGAGAAACCTCGAGGAGATCCACATTGAGAAAGGGATCTGCTCCACACGGACGGACATGCTATAGATCTAGGACCTAAGCTACAGAACGAGGACCAGGGCCACGCAGCTGCCACAGAACGTGGACAGGTCCGGTGCAGGACTGAAGCAACTCCCAGGCGGGTCGGACAGGACAGTCAGCAGGTGTTGATAGAGGAGGCCAGGTTCAGACGTCCTGTCGTCGCACCATGACACAGACAATGGGACAACGGGTGAATAGCAATGAACAGACGACAGTCAAAATCCTAATAATGCAGACAGAGAAAGTAGGAAGGAGGAGAGGATAGGAAGGAGGAGAGGATATTGCTCTCCTCCTTCCTTCTTCTCCCAGCCAACTGACTCCCTACGCAGCTTGACTGACAGTCTAAGGGTGTATTCAGACCAGAAAAGTCCTTTGCTTTGCTTGCTTGGTCCGAACCAAAAGCGGAGCCAACATTTTTCTTTTGGTCCAGTTCGTATTCAGACTGTACTTTTCGCAAGTGAACTTTTTTTATAAACATATCGACGCATGTGACGATCTGCGCTCCAATTGGACAGCAAGAGCTCACGGAGAATAGACGCGGAAATGGAGGAAAATATAGAGCTTGTACGTGCAGCATGTCTGCTCTGCCTATGTTTGTTCTTTTTAGAGCAAAACCACCTTCAACATCAACAGCAGCTCATTCGACACAGGCAAAACGTGTTGTTTCAGATTTTGGAACAGCGTCGGCGAATTTGTGAGGAGAAAGCCGAGACCGAGACCACCAAAAAAAGTGGGTCTCGGTTCGGTTCTTTGGTCCGGACCAGGATTCGTTTGTGTGTATTCAGACCTGCATAAAAGCTTCGGATCAGAGTTCCAAACAAATCCTGGTCCTTTTAAAGTGGACCAAAAGTGCAGGTCTGAATACACCCTAAGATTTTTAGCTTACAGTGCCTTGCGAAAGTATTCGGCCCCCTTGAAACTTTCAACATTTCGCCACATTTCAGGCTTCAAACATAAAGATATAAAAAATATTTGTTTTGTCAAGAATCAACAACAAGTGGGACACAATCGTGAAGTGGAACGAAATTTATTGAATAATTTAAACTTTTTTAACAAATAAAAACTGAAAAGTGGGGCGTGCAATATTATTCGGCCCCCTTGCCTCCCCACCTTTTGCTGCAATTACAGCTGCAAGTCGCTTGGGGTATGTCTCTATCAGTTTTCATCAGCACATCGAGAGACTGGATTTCTTTCCCATTCTCCCTTGCAAAACAGCTCGATCTCAGTGAGGTTGGATGGAGAGCGTTTGTGAACAGCAGTCTTCAGCTCTTTCCACAGATTCTCGATTGGATTCAGGTCTGGACTTTGACTTGGCCATTCTAACACCTGGATACGTCTATTTGTGAACCATTCCATTGTAGATTTGGCTTTATGTTTTGGATCATTGTCCTGTTGGAAGATAAATCTCCGTCCCAGTCTCAGGTCTTTTGCAGACTCCAACAGGTTTTCTTCCAGAATGGTCCTGTATTTGGCTCCATCCATCTTCCCATCAATTTTAGCCATCTTCCCTGTCCCTGCTGAAGAAAAGCAGGCCCAAACCATGATGCTGCCACCACCATGTTTGACAGTGGGGATGGTGTGTTCAGGGTGATGAGCTGTGTTGCTTTGACGTCAAACATATCGTTTTGCATTGTGGCCAAAAAGTTCGATTTTGGTTTAATCTGACCAGAGCACCTTCTTCCACACGTTTGGTGTGTCTCCCAGGTGGCTTGGGGCAAATTTTAAACGAGACTTTTTATGGATATCTTTGAGAAATGGCTTTGCTTCTTGCCACTCTTCCATAACGGCCAGATTTGTGCAGTGCACGACTGATTGTTGTCCTATGGACAGACTCTCCCACCTCAGCTGTAGTTATCTGCAGTTCAGCCAGAGTGATCATGGGCCTCTTGGCTGCATCTCTGATCAGTCTTCTCCTTGTTTGAGATGAAAGTTTGGAGGGACGGCCGGGTCTTGGTAGATTTGCAGTGGTCTGATACTTCTTCCATTTCAATATAATTGCTTGCACAGTGCTCCTTGAGATGTTTAAAGCTTGGGAAATCTTTTTGTATCCAAATCCGGCTTTAAACTTCTCCACAACAGTATCTCGGACCTGCCTGGTGTGTTCCTTTGTCTTCATGGTTCTCTCTGCGCTTTAAACAGAACCCTGAGACTATCAAAGAGCAGGTGCATTTATACGGAGACTTGATTACACACAGGTGCATTCTATTTATCATCATCAGTCATTTAGGACAACATTGGATCATTCAAAGATCCTCACTGAACTTCTGGAGTGAGTTTTCTGCACTGAAAGTAAAGGGGCCGAATAATATTGCACGCCCCACTTTTCAGTTTATTTGTTAAAAAAGTTTAAATTATCCAATAAATTTTGTTCCACTTCACGATTGTGTCCCACTTGTTATTGATTCATAACAAAAAAATTAAAATTATATATCTTTATGTTTGAAGCCTGAAATGTGGCGAAATGTTGAAAGGTTCAAGGGGGCCGAATACTTTCGCAAGACACTGTACCTTCCTGACCATATGCTAAACTGAAGAAGACTGTTTTAAGCCTAGCCTTGAACGTAGGGTTGAAGATGCAGCGGACCGGGTCCCGTACAAGCAGACGCCAATGACAGACAAACGACCTGACCGGACAAACAACCTAACCATATGGTAAATTGAAGAAGAGTGTTGACAATAGTTTTGTCGACAACATATCTATAACCAACACTTTTTCACGAAGGCCCTGATAGAAATCCTTGTTTTATGCCGTGTTTTGTCATTAATGGTTTGAGAATCATAACGAGACTGTTACTTTAACAGTAAGAATAGCTCGATGCAGTTCTGGCAACCCGGATCACGGACTTCCTGATTGGTAAAACGGTGGAGGTTGGGACATCGAAATGAAAACAATAACCACATTTAGAGGCAGTAAATCAAATTTGAATATACAGGCTGAACTACTGTTATACATAGTTCCCACATGACGTCACTACATACGGGGATTTGCCGACCCGGCGCCATTTGTGTTGGCATGCTGTGGGCAAAACAATAGAAAAAGAAGCTGAAACATGTTAATGTCGTGATAAAGTTGAAAATGGTCATCTCCTGCTGGGTCAATGGATGTTCAAATCGTGCCGGAGGTTCCGTTAAACTTGGATTTTACAGTATACCCATCATTAGACTTCATGAATGTGAGAAGACTAAGCTTTTGTCAGAACAACCACGGAGGTTATGGCTTGCGAAGATAAACAGGCAAGAAACTCCCTCAAAACACGCAAGAATATGCTCGGAGCACTTTGTGTCAGGTGCGTATCGTATCTCATAATGTGTTGACAGACGTAATTTACTCAGTACTAACTTGTGTATGCTGATATCTGGTCTTGAGAGTTTCATTATTTAGATTACTTTATTATGAGGAGGATCGGTGTCGCGTCCGAGGCTCTCGAGGGCAACGTAAATGTATTAAATAGATAATAATAGTTCTATGGTGGGCTAAAACAATGTTCACAAACAGCATTGCTTCTGTAAAAAGATCTGCGTCATAAAATAAACTGCTCTTTACGCCTGGAAAAATCAGTTGCCCACCATTCACCAAAACATACGGTCAAAAACGCGGAAATAAACAATAACAGCAATCCAGAGTGTCTGTGTTATTAGCATTAATTAAATTAATTGTTAATATAATTAAACTAATTAAATGGAGCTCCAACTGGTATTAAATCTAAAGTTTTTGAGAAATGTTTGCATTGCTTGTTAATTTTTGCTGCATAATTTGATCAAATATGTAAAACATGTCCGTAGCACGTTAAACTGTGGTGCCATTGTATTAATATACAATTATAAGTAAGTAAGTAAGTAAGCTTTATTTATATACCGCCTTTCACAGACCAGAGTCACAAAGCGGTTTACAATTGTTATTATTTTTTTTTTTTTTGGGCACTTGTCCTCTCACTCCACACAGAGATGGGAGCGGGGTCGCCGAACAGGAGGCGCATGCCAGACCTATTGTACATATTTTTAGTGGTAGGGGAAACCGGAGTACCCGGAGGAAACCTACGCAGACACTGGGAGAACATGCAAACTCCACTCAGAAAGGCCCTGGTCCGGCCGGGATTCGAACCCAGGACCTTCTTGCTGAGAGGCGAGAGTGCTATCCACTCAGCCACCGTGCTGAGTGGATAGCTCAAAACTTTTGAGCAATTATTTGCTCAAAAGTTGCCCTTTTTTTCCAATTTGCGTTTGAATATCTACATTTATTCTCATTCTTCTGTTTAATGGAATGCACAAACACAGCAGCGTGCCATCAAAGATGGCGTCTTCGAGGAGGTCATGTGACATTCATTGGTCTGTGGGAACTATGTATTGGTTAAAGAAGTATTCGAAAAGAGCATGGTTTAATAATACCTTTTGACTTATTAGGGCCATTTTATGATGACTTGACATGCAAATATTACATATTGCTAGTTTAATAGTCAAAAAACTCTGAAATGTGAAGTCTGAAAAAAACTCCGGTTTCCAGTATGACAAGGTTGGTCGGTTAGCTTTAGCTCGTGCAGTTAATCTGTGAAAAAGTCTTCATCAACAACAAAGCAAGCAGTTATCTGGCATTCAGGGAGATCATCAAAAGCGAGGCCACAGACACAAAGGGAAATTGGAAGAGATGGATGGATCGCTAAAAACGAAGCAGACGCCAGAATAAAACAAGGTTGAGCAGTTCAGTTGAGCAGTGTGTGGATTCGGAAGGTTGAACTAAGGGGAAAAATATCAAATCAATTTGACATCTGGATTCTAGCAGTAAAAGAGGACAAATGTCAGATGTCACCAATGAGACAGATTTTATGTAAATAATGCTGGGATTGGATGAATGGTTAACAAACTCATATTGCAGCATATAAACCCTTTAGGTACATCAGTGAGTTTATAGGGCTGACAAACCACTATTCATTTACAATTAATAACACAATTTAGTGTCACTATTCTGACATACATAACTGTGATCCTGGAGGGGTGTGTGGCCAGAAATATATTGTTCCATAATCTTACAATAATGTGTAATTTGCCTCAACATACAAGGTTTATAGAACGATATGTTGGCTGTTCCAATATACTGATATATATATATGGCTGCAGATAGCTCAAGGCTATCTGCTTTTATCTTGCATTAGAACCCCTGCCACTCATCCACATCAATCTCAGACAAATAGATTAACCTAGTCCCAGAACAGAAATGAATACAGTTTTAACATATAAAACTTCTGTTAGAAGAGGAAGGGCTAAAAAAACATTTCCAGTTTGTAGTAAATCAGATGTGGATAAGCTTGCATCACATGTATAATGTGGTGAAACAAATTTGATGGCACACAATGCTAGATTGTGTACGATTCCATGCCCGCGTCTGAAGCTGCCACGACTTCTGTTGTAAATCTTGGGAGATTTAAAAAAAGAAAAAAACTAGACCACATAGTCGTGTCTCCAGGCTAACAAAAACCTCCACTGGCAGCTAACAGCCCACATCAGCTCATCCTGAAACACATGCTCCTACTAGCATGTGCAGGAGTGTTATTGTTTGAAATGTTATAACATCCCATAATGCCCCTTAAAAACACTCCCAGCATTCTGAAATTACCAGAACTTCCATAGCAGTCCTTTGAATGCTCCTATTCAAACTAATGAAATGCTGTCAAATTTTATAAAATATGTCTAGTTCTCCACATTTGGTAAATTTAAATTAATATTATTTGAAATATAGCAATAGCAGTTGCCAAATGCTAACTGCTGGCAAGTTTGTGTGTTGCTATGGGAACTGGTACTTTCTCTTCAGTGGTGGAAAACCAAGCAGACACTGTTCAGAACCAGTCCAGAGTGAGCTCAGAACCAGCACCTTGGAGAAAAGGGGATGTAGGTGCCATCTAAGGCTGGTTTCTAGGCAACCAAAAATAGATATTGAAATATGTTTGTCTTGAATATCCGAGTACTTACACCTCAAAAACTAAAAACAGTCAGAGGGAGTTCCAGTGGTAAATCTTCCCTATTGATACATTTATATGAGGCAACGGATATGCTTGAATATACCCATGATCTACCTCTAAGCTACACAAATATGTCTCAAATACTGACATTATTACACTGAGCAATATTGAAGAGAAAGGCTATGGGCAGCAGTGACAATCAATTGTTCGAGGTCGTATGCTCCATCTCTGCTTCTGTGACCTGTCCTGCTCCACCGAGAGGCTACTCCATCTCTGCTGCTGTGACCTGAAGGGATGAGGCTGATTACTACTATTGTAATCTTTTTTTTAGAATGATCAACTTTATTTTTTATTTTTGCTACTACTGGACACCTGAATTTCTCCTTTGGGGGATCAATAAAGTATCTATCTATCTACCTATCTATCTATCTATCTATAAGTAGTGATAAGAGAACACATTTCATGAACAAAACTATAACATAAGGCGTGAACTTAAGACATGCTCTTTTCAGATCACAAGTCAAAATGGTGGCACCTGATCCCAAGGCAGGAGGATGGGGCCACTGAAGATGAAGGTAAAGCCCATGGATAGGTGTGTGGTCCAGATGAGTAGTCCCAGAAAGCGCCTCCATCTCTGTGACAGCAAGTCGGTGCATACAAACACAAAGACGGCCAGAAATACCAACAAGCTGGAGCTCACCACGCTCACAAAGGCACAGTGTTCCTCAGCGCTCTGCAACAAGAACAATAAACACATTTTACCATCGCTAAATTAACTCTGGCTCTTGGGTAAATTTAACACAGTAAATCACAGGTGGGTAAATTTAACACAGTAAATCACAGGTGGGTAAATTTAACACAGTAGATCACAGGTGGATTCCAATAAATGAATTTAAGGGCTAGAAAGCGTCTTCTTTTTAAGAGCCAAAATGGGTATTTGCTTGATAGAATGTTTGTGAGCAGGCTTTTATTTGTGCTTTTATATTCCTCTGTCGGACCGCGGGTTAGACTGCTGTGTCAGCAGGACAAGATCATTAGGGTTATAGGCTGCGTTAATGTGACATCACAACATTCCAAAGAGTCTATTGTTTAAACTTGTGGTGGCGAGCAGCTGAAAAATCTTTCCTTGTAACTAAGGTCACTGTCAAAAGTCACTTTCTTCCCAATTGGGCCAATCCACATGAAACAAAAAAGAAAATGTTGTCCGTTCTTTGTCGGCATACTGTATTTCAACTATGATTTCATTATTTCCTTCTTAATGTCTATTTATCTCTCTCAGTTTCTTTATTAGGTGTCAAAAAGTGGTAGAAAAAAAAATAAACTGATGTTGGGCAGTAGAATGGACTTTCAGGTAAACAAATAATAATATTAAAAGTCTGGGAAAACATGTGTACGGTTTATTTTTCAATTTTTTTTTCAAAGATTGCCGATTTTAGTACCTGCCTTCCAACTGAAATGGAATTTTAGAACATGAACGCAACCTAAATGTAGTTTTTTGTGTGCCAGTAAAAAGCAAAGAGGTAAAAAGGCCGGAGGGACAAAACAAAAGGTTAAAAGAGCAGAAGTCCCACACAGTGTGAGTTTTATGGATCTCCGCTCAGAGAAGGCCATCTCCTGCATTGTATGCTGAGCTTTCTGGGTACCATGGCAGCACAGCTAAAGGACAGTTCCAAGCAGAGACACTTTGTGTTTTGTTGGCTAAACAACAACAAAAATCATTTTGTATGGTTAGCAACTACAAGTTGTAAACATCAACAGTCACTTCTCTGCACGATGAGATATTGTGACAGTTAATATCTTTAACATTACGGGAAGCATTAAGACCTTTAAAAATTAGGAATGGAATAATTGGGGATTAAACTGTGCAATAATTGATTATTAAACTCAGTAAAACAGAAGTAGGTAAGTTTCACCTAATTGTGTGTAGTGCAGGTGTGGGTGAGAGCCCCTTCAGAGCTGCCCTTCATTAGATGGCACACAGGCAAGTGAAGTTATATAAGCACAGCAGCTTTCTGAAATTGCTACTGGGAAACGGCAGCTTTTTGTTCTTTGGTATAACAAAAAACAAAATACAATAGTTTCTGCTACTGCTGCTGTATCAGAATTAATTAAACTTCACAGGAAAAAGGCCGTTTTTGTGCTTCTGTCAATCACAGAGAGCTTTTGCATAATAATATTTATATGACATGTTGATTGCATTCAATAGTGTGGGTACATGACGTGATAAATGGCATATTACTGCTCATTTATGTTGAAGGCAATTCAGGAATTGTACTAAAGCAGGAGTGCTTTACTACTTTCAAACCAATTGGTTATCACATTCATTTATTTTTTGGCCTCTGTTGCATCTTTAGTGAAATAAAGAGGACCATCCTCAGTTCTCAGCCCAAAGCATTAAAAAGTGACTCTTTATTACAAGTACCCAAACATGAAACAGGAGATGCAACAGAGGATCCTTATCCAATTAATAAGATAGAATTGGATCCACAAACCTGTTGTGCATCTCTTGGCTTTCATATCATAAAATGTCCATCTATGTTTTCATATATAATTAACTGCATTTCTGTTAGTAGTGTTGGGACTTGATTATCTTGATAGGTAATACATGTAAAAATTAACTTACAATCGAAAGACTTACCAGTCCTAGGGAAAAGAAGAGTATGAGGAGGCTGGCACAGGAGAGCATGGAGAGGCCCAGCAGCAGCACCAGTGGCTGATACTGGCTGATGCACGAGAATTTTCGGTATAGTGCTTCATTTTTGAGTTCCTGATCATTTAACAGGTACTTTCCTTTGGCTGGCATCACTGTCACTTGTTATAGAGACATAGTATATAAAAAGCAGAACCAAAATCCAAATATTCCCTGTCTAACTCATGGTGATATATTGAAAATAAATTCTCCTATTGAAAAGACATCCGGCGGGTGGTTCATCCAATTTCTCCCCTCAGAGCAGAACTAATCTTAATGGTGCAGGAGGACCACCATCCTACATCCAGAGTGTTGTTCTGTCCAGCCGGGAGAGTACTGAACCTTGGGCTGGAGACACAGGGGTGGAGGCTCTTTCGGAAAGGGGAGGAGAGAGTGACAAAGAGCCGCAGAAATCCACTGGGATGGGGCAACGGAGAAGCCAAAAGCAGTACAAGGGCTGCTCTCTCCTCAGCGGGTGACACACCTGGACAAAGACACAAACAGAGAGAAGAGTTTGTGTTGGTTAGTACAAAACATAACACTCTTGAAACTGATTAAACATAGGCAGGAGTTAAAAATTAGTATAACCCAACCGTGCAAACAATTAAACATAAGTGAAATGTTATGACTTATTGTGTGATTTGTAAAATAGCTTGAGACAAGTCCAAGTTATCAAAGTTTCTTCATGAACATTACGGAGAACAGCTCAATACAAAGCTGAACTTTGAACTGCTATCAATACAAAGCTCATTTCCTGCATGAGCTATAATGCTGCTTACATGGCAACTACAGCTGATTCTCTGTGCCATAAACAATTACCACAATGGAAAAAGTAGGTATACCAAGACAGTGATTTGTTTGAGCAATAAGCACTACCACAGTTGGCAGCATTTATTTTACTACATTCACATAGATGTTTTCACAAAACAAGAACAGATGCCTTACTCATCACTTAAACACAGTGTTATGGGCTGTAAGGACATAGGTAACTCATTCTTGGTTACATGGACAGCTTTTGAGATTTCCTTTGCCCAGGAAACTCAACCGTATAATGCTCAGCCATTAGGGAGACGGAGAATGCAGTTGTGCCGTTTAAATGCATTTGGATATGTGACTCTGAAGAAGTCATTTGGCTGATGCTCCAATGGTCATCACCTCTAAAGTCGCCATGGTAAAGAGTCTGCTTGTGGCACTGGCTTTAAAGCAGAGGGGTAGACAGGGACGTACGCTTCAATGGAGAGCAGTCTCTCAGAGAGCAGACTTGAATAGCTAACTCTGCAGTGACTGCCAGCGCTTTCTTTATGAATACAGTGCGATTGAAGGAATCACATAGCAGCCTTGTAAACTGGCGTCACCAGAGGAGAAGTACAAAACACGACTGACGTCAGTGTGCGCGTGTCAAACAAAACAGGGGACCATGTTGAAGAGAAATAGGAGCTAAGAAATACAGCCAAATGTTCTGAGCTCAAAGTTTAGAAAAACAACATTAACAGCTTCAGGATATTTGAACAAAAAAAAGAATTATTACAGGTCTAATCCAATCATGACAAAATGGGCTTTTTAGTGAGACAACAGAGACAGTTGGAAGGCGGTAAGTACAAAGCTTTTAGGGCCTCAGCCATCCCGGCTGGAGACTGTTACATCAATGTATTGAGAATGCATTAAACTAATGTGGTGGTTAGATGATACAGTCATCAACACTCTGCTGGTGGCCAGACCAACCAGGAAGGACTGAACAAGAAAATATAATTCAAGACAAAAGTGTACTATTGTCAGATAGTTTTACCTGTTCAAAGGGCAGATTACATTTCCACCTCCATTTCCTTAACATGACAATGACAGTAAACTACAGGGCCAACCCTTTGTTAGCTTATTACAAGTGACAAGGGCTGGGAATAAGCTATGGCTTTAAATCAATAAGATACATGCATCAGACAACTGTTCTACAGTTTTTCTACATTTTCTGTATCCATCCCTACCCAAATAAACCAAATACATACCTTAGCCTGACCAAATATGACAATTTTATATGTCAGAATGTACTCGAGGGACTGACCCGATTATTGAGTATTATTAATACATAACATTAGAATGCAATTAAAGAGCAGAAGCTAGAATGTTAAAACCTCATGAAGATAATCTGTAATTCTGCAATCTTAACCTCAATTTTTGATGTATTTACATGTATTTTAAAGAAATATGAACCACATCCACCTGTACCTCCACCTCACCCATAGCTGCAAAAAAGTATTGGATAAGTAGTAGTATTAATTGAAAGAATACAAACTAGTAATAACAACAATAATTATAATGATGCCACAAATATGGTAAAAATACTATTGACTTGAGTCTGAACGGCTTCTTTTGTTTTTAATCCTGATTTATTTGTTCATTGGTTATTCCGGTGCAATGACTGGCCAAACACAGACCATCAAAAAGGTCACTTCAGACTTTATAGCTTCTATTGTGTTTCTCTTTAAGAGAGCAGACACTACAGACACAAAAGAACCACCACAATGAGGGTGACTCTTTTTACACACACACACACGCAATATATAAATACATAAATATATATATACATAATACATCACATAATGTATTATGTACAGTGCCTTGCGAAAGTATTCGGCCCCCTTGAATTTAAACTTTTAAAAAAAAAGTTTAAATTATCCAACAAATTTCATTCCACTTCACGATTGTGTCCCACTTGTTGATTCATGACAAAAAATTAAATTTTATATCTTTATGTTTGAAGACTGAAATGTGGCGAAATGTTGAAAGGTTCAAGGGCGCCGAATACTTTCGCAAGGCACTGTATACGTATATTTACATATAACAATAATTCATATTTTTTTGTAAAATAGATAGTATGCAAATAGATTAAATCAAAGGGGAAATCACATATTGAGTTAAAACAAACCTAATAATAAGGTATCCTCCATATACATTTATTTCTTTTAGTAATTAGCAATTCTTTTCTAAGAGTAGTGCGGCACAATCCAGTAGCTTTTGTTGGAATCCTCACTGACCATAGTGTAAGACATAATAATGGTTTATGTTCTATGTCCCACCAGCAAATTAACTGGAAAATTTGATTATAATGCATTTTTTGAAAATAAGAAATCAGGGCACTCAGCTAGTTCCTCTCAGTAGGTTAGGATTACAGAGCCTCGTCCATAAACAGATGATGTATGTAGAGCAATGCACTGTGCTGATTCGATTAGGGTGTCTGTCCTTTCCCATCCTCCTGTGACATCCATTGGGATTGAATTAGCTTCATTCACCAGAAGAAGCTGCTGAAAGCTAACAGCATTAACAGGACGCTAGAATCTCAGTCTTGAGCTTCAGATGCAGTGTCGTAATAAATCAAGGAAGTGCGGGCGAGGACACAACTCACCAAGCTAGTTCACATGAGGAACAAATCTATATTTACAATGAAACACATGAAATAAGAAGCTGTATAACTGAAGAATGATATGTTTGTGTTATCGACTGATGTATTTGTATTTTAAGGTTTAAAACAATCTGCTTTAGACACTATGTTGTATTCCAGTTCTATCTATAACCAAATCGAGAAAATAAATTTAAAAAACTATATTCAAATTCACATTCAACTATAGTTAATACATAAGAATAACCACAGATATGAACAAACCTTCCACCAATGAAATACTGCAATACTTGGTGTTTTTGTTCCACACCTACAAATCAAATGGATTTATTTTTCTATCAGCCAAAATCAATGTTATATTCCCATTCAATAAATAACACATTACCCCCTTTTGCTGCCTTTTTATTGTATTTATTGTGGAATCTGCCACTAAATTATGAATTACATGATAACAGCCATTGGAAATGTCCCCACTGAGGGTCACTTAGGGGTGTGTCCGGAAATTGTGAGCTTTTGTAGCATTCAGGCACAGCAAGCCGATTCGGGCCTGGTGTGGTTATTGAGGTTCTTTCTTATAAGCTAGTCATCATCATTAGGTAAGGGCCCCATCTCGCATGGTGTTTTGCCCATTAGCTATTGGTAGTGTATCAAGAGGGATTGAAATAGATTGTAAGATGGGGAGAAGGGTGACGGCACAGTGGAAAAATGGCATAGACTGCTCGAGGCTGGCGGACGTAAAGGATCATCGCAGAGCCAGGACCGCTGTGTCGCTCGGCAGCATGATCAGCGCAAGCTGGGACCGCAAAACGATTGTGAGCCGCTCACGTCGGTCGGGATGATGGTAATTCTTTCCAGGCGCTTACCATATAAACCACAGGCTGCCGTCAGGGCCAGCTGTGCACCAACGGCTAGAATGAACACATAAGACATGCTTTTAACGGTGGCACAATCCTTCACGTTAATGAATAGCTAATGGACATCACAATTCACATTCTAAGAGGTGCACAGCCAATGTCCAATGTTTCTGATAATAAACATTTCGCCAGTATTGTCCGTTGTATTATGATTTTGAATCTATGTATGCTAATTGTCGGTAGGGTATTGGGTAAAATATTTAGTTGTGATCTGATTTAAGTATCATATTTTGTGTAAATTAGTGGTTAAAATGTAAGAAACACCTAAACTTTCTCCTTCGTGTGAGAGGGATGGTTAAATTAGTAGCAAAACATAATTTAGTTTTTATGGTCTTGTCAACCAAATATAATCTGCTTAGTGAGAAATTGCATACTTTATAAATATGGTCTGGAGTTTGCATGGAGCTTAGCCAACATTGTTCCTAACTGTCTGTTCATCCAGCAATGCTAAGCTTTATCTAAAAGTTTGTGTTTAATAGGCCTGATCACGTGGTTTTAGAGACTGCCCATGATGATAAATAATTGAATGCATCCCCTCAGCTGGTTGTTATAAATGTCCACTGCCAACTTCATTTCATGTCCACAAATTTGCAACCTGTCTTATGACTAAAGTATTGCTACACTATATAATCAAAGATGGGCTTTGTAGCGTGTCCACACAAGTCTGTAAGCAAAGAATGACTTCTTCCTCTTGCTGTGGCCAAGAATAGCCCACTTTGCACGTAGCACAACCACAAGATGTTGTCTGGACTGAATCTCACGCCAACAATGATAATGTGAATAAAGGAAAGTGTTAATTGGCCATGGACGCATCTAGCTCCACTACTCCACATCCCAACCCGCCTTGCCTGGCTTCCACTCCTACTCTGAATAGCAAAACTATAATTATTAGTATGGAGATAAAATCCATCCAGTGACTACAGAAGTCATGCAAAAAAGTGACTAATTTTTTCCTTATTTGCAGGATCGGTTGTCAGAACTAGGTGTTACATTGAGTTCTAAGTGCGGTTGAACACTTATATGCATTTCAAAAACAAGTTATTTATGTCTTATGTAAAATACAGCTTGACAACTTTCCTCCACTTGTGAAAAAGGACTCCATAATGCAGGTATCGGGAATATAATGTGACTAGGTTTAACAAAAAAAATAAACTAAAATCCAAAACAAAACACAGAACCAGAAAACAGCATTTTCCAACCAACACAATTCTAGGATCCGAGCGACCCAGTTTGACCCCTCCAACTTAGATCGGCTCACATCCCAACGGCCACGTTTTTCTGGCGGTGACACTGTGCTGTCTTTGGCAAACGGTGAAATGAAGGAGAATCAAGGTTGGACAGCAGGCGCGACGAGGTGAAAACACAATCCAAGCGTGAGAATCAAACCAGACCCACTGAAGTACCTCTCACAACTGGTCTAAGGATGGAATCAGTAGACCTACATAAATATAGCCTGGTGGCGTCGAGTGGTTGGCGGTCCACGCTCAACAAGTGCACTAGCCTAACCTAACCGATTAGCCTCTTCTTATCTTAACTCTCGAAATCCCCTTTACAGGAATGGTCCAAAAAGTTTGGCTCTATGCCCCAAAGCCCGTCCACATGTGTAGTCACATGCTGATGGGAGGGAGTTTATATTCTTTTGGGCCAGTCATTTCTAAGTCACTGTGAATTTTTTGAAGTCCAACTCAACTCGTTACATTCCATGGAGCTTGTGCCTGGATTTACGCATCGCCCGAAGAGTTATTTCATTATACACATTTTTCCATCCCCCGTTTGCCATTTATGCATCACTACCATGAAATTCCCACATTTAAGCCCCGTTAGATCCACTAGACGGCGCACCGGCCTATACACCGACCGCCACCCTTATCCGTACTAAAAAACACTGGCCCAACGCGAGGTTATAAGCCGTCACAAGATCCAAATTTTGTAGTACAACCCTCCTCCCCCACACCCAGCCTCATTTTGCCAGAAACACCCCCAATCCATCACACACACCAACGAGGAATTATCTTCATCAGTTGTTCTTGTCTTCTCTCACACTTGTCCCTGAGTACTTCCCGCTGATAATGTTGATTTGAAATTTTTTGAATGATATTTTTTGTCTTTTTTTTTTTGGTACCTTTGAGAAGAGAAAAACAAAATTAATTTATGCATAGAGTATGCAAAATAAATAAGACAATTGAAGTCTCCACAAAATAGGAGATGGAATAATGCAAGATGGCAACTATATACTTCAGCTTTATCAACCTCAGGTTTCCTCCGAGTCTATCACCCCTTCAATTATTCAATATTCCCCCTATTTTTTAGACACAAACATTATAACGTCCCACAACAAAAACAGCGACTAACCTACTTTTCAATTGTTCCATGAGGACACAAAATACTTCATAAATTCCAAATACCACTAAACAGCAAAAAAATGACAAGAATTGTCATAAACCCTCAAATGAGCACACAGACAACAAATCAAACATACTTCAAGTCTCACCTTCACCGCCCATGACCCCTGACACTGTCCTTAAATCTACAGATTCAATCCAATTTCCTGCGCCCCCAACCAACACCGTGATCACAACTCGTGATATGCCAAAGCTCCAAACCTCACTATATTAGTCATCCCCTCCACACCTATAATACTGCAAGACACACAATATATCCCCAATCTACCCTAACACAAACCACCGAAAAACTGACCAAATAAAAGACCCAGATCGCATCAAAAAGCTTCCTACATACGCCCCCTAAATTCTCACATCCAGCCCCCCAGAACAATTACCCACTAGCAGATTTCAGCCGCAGGGCCTTCATGTGCCACGCCGAGCACGACACCCTAACCTTACCTACAATGGCAAACCGGCGGATGGTGGGACGCAATGAAAACACCATGCACAACGATTGCGGGTTCGTTAAAACTCTAAAATCATAATGTCTAATCAAGTATCACCGTGCTGAACCCTAGCTAGCTCATCAGTTAACTATCTTTTCTATTTACACAAGGAGCCTGCATTTTAATAATACGCATATTGAAATATAGTGCCATTCTACTGCACAGCCTTAGACCTGCAAATAAACAATCTTTTGCTACTTTCACTACCGCAATATTGCATGACCTAAGTGAGACTGGGAGCAGGAAACTAGTGCCGGGTAGAAACACACGCCATTCTCCCACGTCCTTATTTGGTGGGCTGGGTCCTTATTCAACTCGTGGACAGCAACGGACTCACAAATGTTATGAATGCCCAAAATAACATATTAAATACCGATGATAAAGTCCAAGGTAGAAACAAACAGCAACGCAACACACAAAAAACAACATCCCCAAAACTAACACCTCCCTAAACTAGAGACCAGGAAAGAATAACCCCCCAGGTACACGGAGCAAAGGTGAAACCAATCCCCAGTGATCCCAGATCGCTCCTAATCCAATGATTAATTCTCGAACACGCATGGACTTTCATCACGGGACCGAGCAGACATATCTAAAACTCCGCCTAGAATATGTGGGTCATCGACTGGTCCACAAACCTAATTGTTGCTTATCCAATGCACAAGAACAAGATGGGCTCTGTGCGCAGCGGCTTTAAGAGCCAATCCGCTCTTCAGACTACATCTCCAGCTCTTATAGACTTCACTGACAATTAGCGTTGCATTTGCAACGGAGCCCACTTTTATTGTAGTCAATAAACTAGAGCGTCAATGTAAAAGACACCCCGTCCGCTAAGCCTGCATTGACCCCCTCTAACCCATTCAATGGAACAAAGCCCCCAAAACTCCCCACCCCCATACCACCGCTATATCATGCAACACAGTCGTATCACATACATCTATGCTGACGAGCAGAATAACATTAACAATTCTGATACACAGGCCTGTTTAAACATTTGGTAGAGCATTTTAGCACAGACCGTGATCGCACCCCGAAGCTGGATTACGTTTAATAAAAGCATCACCTCATTCTCCTATAGAGTTCCTTGGCGGTCAAAGCTCAAACACCGAACACTACACTGCTTTACATAAACCCGGCATAAAAGCTGATTTTGCGATTTTACCACGTGCTTCTTTTCCAATCCACCGAACACAAGACAGACACTACATCCCTTCAAAACACTATATTAATTCCACATACATTCAATACCTCCATTCTAGCCTACCATCGACACACCTTCTGATTACCCTAGAACAATTCCTTGGGCACAATGATCCACAACCAAAACCACCCCTACGCACGGTGAGATGCTTGTGGTCGCGCCGTCACACATGAATAGCACCCAGCCCTACCACAGAAGTTCCAATTTACTCACTATATCGTTTGCACCGATCACTACGACCGGAAACCAAACGACTTAATTACCTAGCATACTGCTCCCACAACAATATAGCCACCTACATATCCATATTCGTAAACCCCCAATCCATTATAACTCTCCAACTATGCACCTACCATTTAAGACAAATCAATAAGTTCTACATGATTATTCATTCAGGCCACACACACCCATCACCACATCAATACTCACCATATTTTTCACTAAATATTGCTTATATACCAAATCGCCAAAAACTTGCCTACAAGACGCTTTACATCCCAGCCCACACTTAACCACCCAGCCCACTTGCTCCCCTGCAACGAGGCCCCGCCGAGTCATACTGGGCCTCACAACCCTCAACTCCCCCGGAGCTAATCTGGCTAGCTGGACCTGCTTCCTAAGAGCATGACATAACTATCACGTTTGAAAGGTGTGTAGTACACCGCGATAAGAAACACACAAAACGAAACCAAAACACATGCGAGCTAACTATTTTTTGACGTCAACCATTATCCCAGCTAAAAGACCACCATCTTGCGACCCCGTATTTCAAATATTCGAGCTGTATTCAGGCAGTGGTGTATGTTTCCCACCATAAACACACTTCAAACAACTCCTAGTACACCGTAACGTTGCCCTGTAGACCTGTCCCCCCTCTATCTCCTCAAAACCTTGGCCAATCAGCAAGACCAGACGCCTTCTCACGAGCAAATAAATACTAAAAAAACCTGGAAGCTTCTAACCAACATAAGATGGACTAGCTCACTGGATCCCTTCTATACAAACCTCAATGTATATATATGTGATCCCCCCGTTGAAAAGAAAACATGACATGTCTGAAAGACCTGTGTAGCAGTAACGTAGGTATTAGTACAGCAAATGTCTGGTGGAACAATTACTCCAAACAAGGAGAAGATTAAAATACCCCAGTGGTCATTTCATGCCCAGACCAAATTAGTATTGTGTCGGACTGTGATACACAACAGGCGTTTCCAAGATCGGGGAACACTCACCTTTGTACATGACAGTTTCTCATGACAGTATGCCTGATGACCCGTTGTAGATAATACGTGGTCTCAGACTTAAATTTTAATAGCCACAATAAAATCTGAAACATCAGCAGCTTTTTACCACGCTCAAAAACATTGCCAGTATCAAAAACAAAGCGACAAAAGCAGACTTATAGGATTCTATATCCATGCATTTTGTCTCCAGTCGTTAGACTACTGCAATGGCCATCCACACAGTCTGTCCAAACAGGCTGTTAAACAGCTCTGCATACATTCAAAATGCAGCGCTCGATCCTGACTAGAACCAGGAAGTACGACCACATTAGTCCAGTACGTCCCATATGAACCACCCCAACCCTGACTCAGCAGAGAGCCCGTGACTGGAACTCCAGTTTAACGTGCCCAGAGTCACACAACACATGAGGGAGCCTATCTCTATCGCTTTCATGATTCATGCTGCTAAAATCTGGAACAATCTTTCCTGAAGATGTGAAGACACTTGGCCTCCTCGACAATGTTTAAGAGAGGTTGAAAAAACATTTCTGTTTTACTCATCATACACACTGATGGATTATTATCTTTTTTCTAATTTATCTTTCTTTTTAACTGTACTAGAGATTACTTCTTTCTGATATTACTGCACTCTTTTTTTGTTCATGTCACTTTGATTGCCTTGTGTATTATTGTAGTGTCTATACAAATAAACATGCCTGCCTTTGCCTTAATTTTAAAAGTCCCAGGAAGCACAAAGGGCAAAGTAAGAGATTGAGTCAAAAAAAACATTGTTTTTTTTTTCAAAAGACATACATACAAAAACGGAGTGCATGCAGCATAACTCGAAAATGTTTGGAAAATTTCTAAAAATACGTGTCAAAGTCTCCATGTGATTCAATAGATACAAACTCATAATCAATAATCATTACATTTTTACAACACAGTGTATTGAAGATGGGCACTGTGGCACCACCTTGGGCAATGTGCGAAGCCTTAGAAGCCCCTTGCCGCCTTTAAATTGATCTTTTTTCCTAACTTGTAACATGCCAGCACTCATGACATCGCCCCTCAACATTACTAATTCTCTACCCTATGCCCATATACATAAAAACTATTTTTTCGATTTTTTAAGATTTACCAACATATTTATAGAGGTAATTTTTTGCCGAGCTCCAAGAATCCATGCACTGCACCACAGTTCTCGTCCGCTTCTCTGAATATCTTACTTGCTTGACTCTCTGGTCAACACGTATATCTAGGCACCACACTACAAATGAAACTCATTATTTTTGTTATACTAATGATCAGAGATGTTGGTTTGATTGTCAATTATTTCCCTTGCCACAGAAGTGTCATAACCTTTTTAGATGTTACGCTAGTCAAATGCACATTAGTAAGTAAACAGAGACGTTATGGACATATGGCAATAGTGACGGGACTAATCTTGTAAACCGGATCAGCTTGTGCTGAAGCTCAAGGTCGTGACCCAGATAGGTGGCGCGGGGGTGGTCTGGAGGATCAGGGGGTAACGGTTATTACCGATCCACTAACAATCCAACAGCTATAAATGGACTGTTCATTTACACACAGCAAACAGATTGCGGTCCTGGGTTTGTTGTGGGTCTTTTCGCGTGGTTATCATTTTTCTTTCCTTTATTGGTGGTTAAGGTGTTTATTGAACAGGTGATATATTGCAAGAACAGCCTTTATCACCTTATTAAATAATTTCGGTTGCGCATTTCCTTTTGCAAAAGATAGGAGGCTCTCAGCTTTGGATGACTAAATTCCGACATTTAGTATTATACATATTCTATCTAACTCCCATACACGGTCTACGTTAATATCACATAGGCTGAAACAATAGAATTCAGGCTTTTAAACAGAAAAATGTCAAATATCATTCCATGAACAATAGATATAACATCTCTCCCACTAACACGGGCAACAACGAAGTGGAAAAATGGTGCCCTTTTTATAATATCCATTTTGATAAATGGGCAAAAATTTATCGCAACCGCAACCATCTTTATTGGAGTGTCATGTTACAGGTTATGGAAACGTGGCCTCTTTAAAAAGAAATCATGCACATTAAAGACTTCCATTTTATCTACTTGTCCTCTAAAAATAGCTCTGTACTGTAAACATAACTAGAATTGTAACCATTTAGCAGCACAACTACATGATCAACATATCGAAAATCGATTTTTCCTTCTCTAATCTCTAACAACTTTCATTTGTATAAAGTGGACACTATAAAGAAAATTACCTCACAAATTTCATATACTGTACACTATTCTCTGAGGCTCCAAACCAAATCTGATGACGATGTCAAAACCTTAAGAGGACTATATATTTAATTGGCAAAAATAAAATCTTTACTTAAAAATCTTATTTTTTTATCCTCAAAATAAGAATTCTTTACTAATTTCAGACCTGATTGTGACCAACACCATTTCATCATTTATAAAAAATGAAAAAGCTAAGAAAATAAAACTCTGCCCCCTAAACGATAATACTTGTTCCATTGATCAAATAATCAAAAATCAACTCAAATTAAAAAATGTTTTTCCCATGA